TCTCCTCGAATCTTCAGATCATTCAAATCATTTTGGGGACCTAATCATGTACATTGACAATTGTAAATTATAATTTTTGGTTTTGTTCTATTATTTTTGTAAGAGTTTCTGCAAAAAAAAGACTATTTAATTTGAAGTTGATGTTCTGTCTGATGGCTGGAGATAGCAGCAGGCTTTTTTTTTCCATGTTGATTTGTTCCATTTGAATTTTTTATCATCTTTATTGTCTCCCCCCACCACCAATCCCTGTCTTGAGATTTCTGGCATGTTTCAGGAGGTTTCAAAGGAAATAAACGTTTCATAGAAATGACTGGTGTGCTCACAGGCAGCTGCCTGGAAATCAGCTCGGGCTTCCTTCAATGCATGTCACACCACTGTTGCACAGCGCACACTCACCAGCCTTACAGCTTCTCCGTGGCATCCAGACAACAGAGATCTAACCCTCATGATGTAGAATTGTGCTGAAGTTAAAAAGAAAAAAAAAGCTAGGTCTGCAGAATGGGCATGGTAACACATGCCCCTTCATCCCGGCGCTCAGGAAGCAAGGCCGCTGGATCTCTGAGTTCTGAGCCAGGCTGCTTGAAATAGCAAGTTCCAAGCTAGCTAGGGCTACACTGTGAGACTCTCTGCTTTTGCCAGGTGTAATGGCTCCAGCTTGTAATCCTAGCGCTCTGAGGCTGGGGCAGGAGGATCTCTGAGAGTTCAAGGCCAGCCTGGACTCTCCAGCAAGAGCCCAGCTCTCTCAGAGACAAAAAGGCTGGTTGTGTCAGGAATTCATGGTCATCCTCAGTTACATAGCAAGTTTAAGACAGCCTGTGCTATCCCCAAAATAGTTCTTAAAAAAAGAAAAAACCAAACTTCTGGACTGGAAGTGCTCAGAAGTTAAGAGCTCCAGCTATTCATCCCCAGGACTACCCCCAACAATCACCTGTCAGCTCACTCCAGACCCAAGGGACCCTATTCCCTGTTCTGATGTTTTAAGGGGAAAAAAAAAAAAAAAACCAGCAGAGTAAGGCAGCCCGTGCCTTGAATCCCAGCCCTTGGCAGGCAAGGCAGCCAGATCTCTGAGTTTGAGGCCAGCCTGGTCTACTGGAGTTCCAGGATAGCCAGGGCCATGGAGACCCGGTCTCAAAACAAACAAAAACACAAGATTTCAGGTAAAATAAAAACCACCCTGGTCTTCAGAACTCAAAATCAAAGGCCCTACCCCTAAGGGCCCCTCCTGCTGCAAGCCACACCCCTCCATCTCCACCTCATTTGTATACTCCGGCCCGCCCACTGTCGTCAAAGTCTCTCCACTGGGCCCCCTGTGGCACGGACTTCCCTCTGCCAATAAGTCCAGGAGTGGATTGCAGTGGAGAGCAGCCCAGGCCTCTAGGGGTCGGAGGTAGGAATTATATGATGGAGCTCCCTCTGCATCCACAAGGGAAGTGTCTCCAGCACACTCCTGAGACCTCAGCTAGGCTCAGGTTCTCTGTGGCTCTCCTGGAGGAGGGGTGGGAGCAACTTAAAACTCACTCTGTGGACATCTGGGGGTGGGTGGGGCACGAAGCAAACGGATAGCACGGGAAGATCCCAAGGACCCACCTCCCGAGGGAGCACGGCTCTGGACAGGAGTGCACCCCGCCCCCAACTAGCCGTCCCTGGCCTCTGTGCATGGGCTCAACTCTGACCTTCCTCCTCCTCACCCCTGCCCCTTGAAAATGTCTTCTGAAAGGCTTTGCGTACATCCAGTGGAGAACCAAGGCCTCCCAGCTACTCAGACAGCCCCTCTCCACCATCCTGCAGCCCCGCCCTCCCCTCACCAACCCGGCCAAGCGGGTTGGGAACCTGGGAACAAACTGTTCTCACACCCTCTCCTGGCCCGGGAGACACACCACCACCTCCCAACATCCCCCAACTCACACCGATGGCGCCTGCACTGCCGGTTGTCCCCGACTCCCTTCCCCTTCTCACCCCAGTTCTCCCGTGCACCCCTCCCCCACCCTCCTTAGCCTGCCGCTCTATCTCGGCCTCAGCTGGCTGGCACTCCAGATTTCTGTTGCCCCCCATCCCACCCCACCCCCTCTTCGAAGAGAAGGCCCACCACGCAGCCCTAGGCGACCTGGAACTCACCATCCTCCTGCCTCAGCCCGCAGTGCTGGGGTTCTGAGCCGTCCAACCAAAACCCACCATCTACCTCCTCCTCGCCCCCATTGTCTGGGGCCCTGGCCTGCCCTCGCCTGATTCCATTTGCTTCCTCCTGACTTTGTAAATTTTCTGCTTCTCCAAAATGCTGCCCACTTCACCCTCCCCTGGTCTTGCCAGAGCCTGGAGTTGGTTTTTTTTTTTTTTTTCTTTTTAATTCCTGCACTAGTCTTCCATCCTTGCCCCTGTCCGCTTCCCTCAGAACTCTTGGGGGCTCTCTTCATCTGTGTATCTCTCCGGCTTTGTCCTTTATTCATTCAGGAGATTTGTGACCTCAGACTCTTTCCTCCTTCCTGATCAGTGCCCCGTTTCTACACGGTCCCCACCCCCGCCCACCCCACCCCACCACTCACACCTAGAGACACACGCACACACTCACACACACACTCACCCCTCACACACACTCACACACACCACACACACACACTCACACACTCACACACACTCACACACTCACACCCCTCACACACTCACACACACTCACCCCTCACACACACCCACACACACACTCACACCCACACCCCTCACACACTCACACCCCACACTCACACACACACCCCCACACACACCCCTCACACACACTCACACACATCACACACACACTCACACTCACACCCCTCACACACTCATACCCCCCACACACACTCACACACTCACACCCCACACACACACTCACACCCCTCACACACTCACACACACTCACACCCCCCACACACACTCACACCCCACACACACTCACACACACTCACACCCCCTCACACACTCACACCCCCCCACACACACACACCCACACACTCACACCCCACACACACTCACACACACACACTCACACACACTCACACCCCTCACACACTCACACCCCCACACACACATACACTCACACCCCCCACACACACACACCCACACACTCACACCCCACACACACTCACACCCCTCACACCCCCTCACACACACTCACACCCCCACACACACCCCTCACACTCACACACACCCCACACACACACACTCACACACCCCACACTCACACCCCACACACACACCCCACCACTCACACTCACACCCCTCACACACACTCACACCCCACACACACTCACACACACTCACACCCCACCACTCACACACACTCACACCCCACACACACTCACACACACTCACACCCCACACACACTCACACCCCACCACTCACACTCACACCCCACCACTCACACTCACACCCCACCACTCACACTCACCCCACGCTCACACACAGCACTCACACTCACACACACCCCACACACTCACACATACACTCACCCCACACACACACTCACACACACACTCACACCCCTCACACACTCACACCCTACACACACTCACACACACACTCTCACCCCTTACACACACACACACCACCACTCACACCTAGAGACACACGCACACACTCACACACACACTCTCACCCCTCACACACACACCACACACCCACTCACACTCCTCACACACTCACACCCCTCACACACTCACACCCCACACACGCTCACACACACTCACCCCTCACACACACTCACACACACACCCCACACACTCACACTCACACACCCCACACACTCACCCCACACACACACTCACACACACACCCCCCACACACACTCACACACACACCCCACACACTCACCCCACACTCCGCACACACTCACACCCTCACACACTCCCCCTCACACCCTCACACACACTCACACACACTCCCCCCCACACACACACACCCCTCGCTATGAGTCCCTGTTTTGAGAGGCCCTCTTGCCCTTCTCCACTTTTAGCCACACCCAGAGCAGGGGATCCCAGGTGACAGCCAGCCCGGCCGGGCGCCACCTCCCCACCCTAGCCGGGGCGGGGGCTGCCTTCGGGTCTCTCCCGCCCTCCCTTCCCCCAGCCCTCACTCCCACCTCCCTCCTTGCGCTGCCTCCCGCTGCAGCTGCAGCAGCCCGTTGCTAGGGCAACCACAGCTGGCTGGGTGGGAGCCCCTCCACCCCATCCCCCCTCTTCTCTGCAGCAAGACCGGGAGGAGCTGGGACAAAGCCAGAGGGAGGCAGGGTGTAGGGTCAAGGAGGTGGGGGCCGGCCACAGTGGTTTCTACCCCAGTGAGGCCCCTTGGCTCACCATCTTGGTGACACCCCGAAGGATGTTAGAGAAGGAGGCAGTCACGGGTAGAGGGTCAGGCCCAGTTTAATACACAGGACAAGTTAATTCACAGCAGAGGCAGGCAATAAAGGAGACTCGGCAGGGGGGCTCTCCCGGACTGGGGTGGACTCCCCCAGACCCCCGCCTCCCCCACTCAGTCTCAACTCCCTTTTTAAAACCCGAACAACAAACACACAACCACAAGAAACAACCACACCCCCTCGCCACCCCCAAAATGGCTGTGGGGGTGGGGGGCGGAGGCAGCCCGGCCTGGCCGGGAAGGGAAGGGGCTGAGAGGGAAAAATGAGTCCATTGCAATCTGTGCTTCTCGCTGCAGCGGGCTGGCTGCCTGCCTGCCTGCCTCGCCCCGCCGACCTCCCCCAGCTGCATGCCCCAGGCCTGGCTGGCACCGGGAGGGCGCAGCGTGGGGCTGTTGAGGGGGGGCAGGAAGAGTTCAAAACCATGGTTTCACATCATGCAGTATCCATCCACGGTGGGTACTGGGGGAGGGCGGGGGGCGGGCGCCATGCCCACCTGGCCTGGGTGTGAGGAAGGAACGGCACCCACCTCAGATGGGGAGCTGAGACACTTGCAACCCCAAAAGCAGGGTGGGGGAAGGGGCCATGGTAAGGCCTAGGGACCAGGTAAGGTAGGTACCCAGCAGACACTCCGCTGCCCTCACCCAGCCAGGCTTTATAGGACTCTTTGTATATATTAATTTCTTTTTTTTTTCTTTTTACTTTTTGTCTTTTTCTTTAGAAAAAGGCTCTTTCCGTGGCCCCAGCTGGCATCCACTACCTCCCTATGCCCGCCCGGAGGCGGGGTATGGCTTTGAGGGGAGCAGAAGCCCCTGGTGCCCATTTGCCAAGGGATGGAGAGGGGCAGAGGAGCCCTAAGGACCCGCCCACCCACAGGGTAACATCCACTTGCAGAGGGAGAACACCTTGGTTCCCTCTGGGCTCCACCCTCTCCCTCCCACTGGGGACACCGGGTGGGAAGAGCAGGAGCTCCTCGAGGCAGGAAAGTTAGCACCACCCAAAGGTCCTGGAGAATCAGAGCCAGGCCTAAGTGAGGGTGATGTAGGCAGAGGCCTTCTCTTTCAAGTGCCGAAGACAGAGGTGGCAACTCCAGCTCCCTGTGGGGGTTGGGGGAGGGGTGGGGGAGGGCACAAGATAAAATTAGACTCAAACCGAAGAAGGGCGCCCCCCCACCTGTCCCCACCCACAGCACATGCATGGTCTCTGCCACCAGGAAGAAAGTTCCAACCCACCCACCCCATGTCTCGCCCACCTCTTCCCTCACCTTCCGGGGGCTCCGCCATGGGAGGGTTCAAGCAGTACATATGGTAACCCCGGTCGCAGTCATCACAGAACAGCAACTGGTCCTGGGGGGTGAGACCCGCCCAGCTGGCACCCTGGGGGCATGGGCACCAGAAACCGGGGTGGGGGGCTGGGGCGGGGGGCTAGGTCCCAGGGGCTCTTCTGAGAGAGCTGACTCTGCAGTCTGTACTGTGGGCCCCCTGGCCTGGCTTGACCACTCACAGAGTGTCGCCTGGATTTCGTAACTATGGAATACTGACTGATGTCCAGTTCAAATCCTGGCCCTGCAAGGTTCTCAGCGTGGTGACCTAGGCCTCGTTCTCCCTCCCTGAGCTCAGCAGCCTCTTCTGGGTAGTGGGAACAAGAACACCAGCCTCAAGGGCGGTTGGGGAGTGTCGGGGGGGGGGACAGGATATACAGGGACAGGTTCAAGTCAAGGGGCGCTTGTGACAACGGCAGCGCATACTCTGCTGGTCACCCAGGGGCGATGAGCACGGAAGGCTTAGGCTTCACGGGCAGAAGCCGCAGAGCCAGGCTGGAGGGGCAGTGGGGGTGTGCCCACGAGGTGGGGCAGGTACTCACGTCATTCTCTGACGTGCCACACAGACTGCAGGACTTGCATTCGATGCACTGCCAACGGTAAGTCCGTACGGCTGCCGTCATGTTCACCGTGAACTGTAAACACGAGGGATGTCCTGGGGACCGAGGGGCAGGGATGCAGTTAGCAGGTCATTGTACCCCTGGTGGCTGCTGACCCCTGGGGAAGTAATGGCTCTATCCCCTCCCTGACTCAGAGGTCAAGAGGAGCTTTGTGGTGGGACCCTACCCCCAAGACAGACAGACATCCGGAAGCTGGACTGCCGGCAAGCAGCTGTGTGTTGGACCCCACAGTCTCCTACTCAGCCACCATGACAACCACACTCTGCTCCCCAGAATACCATGGCAACCGCATTCCATTACCCACAGTGCTGTGGCAACCACGTTCTACCACCCACAACACTGTGGCAACCACAGTCTGTTAAGCACCGCACTAGGCGGCCACATTCCAATACCCACAGCAGAGCAGCCAGCCCTCCTGTTAACCCCACCTCCTGTTAACCCCAGGCAGGATGCTATAGCAACCGCTTCCACAACAGGGCTCCCGCACCTTGCCTGCATGAAACCAGAGGCTGGACCACACAAGGCACCGGCAAGCAAACTGCCAGTGACAAGAAATACTTGCAGTGTTAGTGTGTTCAGCTGTGCCCCTCTCCAGCAGACACACCTCTAGCCATTGCCCACAACACCCAACAATTACAACTACTTCCCGCCAAGCCAGACGCCAACAGCCCACACAGCCTGACAGCCCCACGGCCAGGAGCCACAGCACTTGGTCCCCACAGTGTGTACCCATGGCATCTCCCAGCCACGGTCCACCATGCCATAACAATCGCATTCCATTGTATTAAATTGCCAAGACAACCCATACTGAACAACCACAATCCATTACCCACGCTACTGAAGCGGCCAGTCTTACCACCCACGAGGCCTCCATGAGAAACCACATTCTATTAACCACAGTTCTCTTCTGTTTTCCGCAGCAACCAGGTGGTGCGATTCATTACTCCCATACCTCAGTCCCCTACCCACAGTGCCTCCGCGGCGCCTGCCCATTCTCCATGCTAGGAAAACACGAAGCCATGGCAACTCATACTGCTCCTACACTGATCGCGCTCGGTTTCCCACAGTCCTCAGCAGCAGGGGCAGCCCCTAGGCTTGGCCAAGCCACTGCGCCCCATGACAGGCTAAGCACAGTTGTCACGCCCTGGCCTCCCATTCCCCGAATCTGGATTCTAGAATGTCCCCTCCCCGGCATCTTCCAGTAAAATATGGTGAGTGTCACCTGATCGCCCACAATCTGCACAGGAGATGAGGTCCTCGGGACACCCCGTCTTCTTGGAGCCCCCCAGGCAAAAGTCACAGTAGCCATTGGGGATGACAGTGCCGTCTGGTGCTTTCTTGGCTGAAAGACAGCAGGCAGTGGTGGGCACAGGACAGGTGGGGCGCCCCAGTCAGAGAGGGCTGCAAACGTCGGGGTGGAGGGAGGTGTCCCTACCTGTGTGTTTCCTCTGTGCCTCAGGGACCCAGGCCAATTCTTTGTAAAACTCTGGGGGTGGGGGGGACAGAAAGGGGCTCTTACTATAGGCAAGATCCCATCTGTCCCCAGCATCAGCCCCAGAGGTGGACCCTTGGCCCAGGCACCGGGAAGCAAAAAAAAAAAAAAAAAAAAAAAAAAAGCTGAGGGAGAGGCAAATCTCACCAAAACTTGGGATGGCTGCATGTTCTCTTTATTTGGGTAAGAGTGTGGGGGATAGGTATAACCTTAGCAAAAACTCATGATTGCCTCCCCGAGTCAGCTTGCCTAGGCCAGCACTTAGCAGACCGCTCTGCAAGGCCCGGTATGGAGACCTATTCGGGAGGACCCGAGAGAGCACAGGAGGTTCTGGGCCTGGCCTGAGGCTGCTGAGGAGCTCATTCTGACCAGCAGGTGAAAGACAGCTCCCTTCCCCCACGGCTCAGCTGTCATGGCACAGAACGGGTGTGGGTGAGTGTCAAGGACCCTGGCGGCCTTGCCCCTGGACCCTAGCATAGCAGAGAAGGGAATCAGGGAGGCCCAGAGAGGGAGGGGAGTTATCCATCAACCCCCTCTCCCCAAGCTCTAATTGAAACAATAAATCAGACCCAGAAACATTATGCCCAGGCAGGGAATGAGGGAGAGAGAGAAAAGGAGAGAAGGAGAGGGAGGGGGAGAGAGAGAAAGAGAGAGGGAGAGAGGGAGAGAGAGAGAGAGAGAGAGAGAGAGAGAGAGAGAGAGAGAGATGGTTGGTTGTCATGGCAACCCCAGAGCCAGCATCCCTATGGTCGGTGGGGGAAGGAACCGTTAGGCTGGAGATTTTCCAGAAATGTTTAATGTGCCCCACCTCCCCTTCCCCGGCCTCTACCAGGCTCCATTGCCTCCACCGCACTCCTGGGCATCTCCCCCACCAGCCCTGACCCTCCAACTCACGTTTATGGTTGTTTTTCCGGTGGAAAGGCAGGGCGTGGCGCTCAGTGTGCTCCTCCCCCTCCTCCTCAGCCAGGTGGGTGTGGGTGTAGTGGTAGCTGAGCCCCGGTCGGTTTTTATACCTCTTCCCACAGACTGAAGGGTGAGTGAGTGGGTGGTTGTCAGACGCCAATGCCTCCTCCTCCACCCTGGCCTCCAGGATCACACCATCCCCTCTCCCAAAGAACATCCCCTTTCCCCAAGGGCCAGGACCAGAACAAGTGTGAGGTCACGGTGGCCCAGGCTTCCTCTCCCTTTCCCTTCTGCAGAACTCACTATCACAGACGTAGGGCTTGTCTCGGTCCTCCAGGGAAGCCGTGTCCTGGCGTTTCCTGAGACCTCCGATGCCATATGCCTGCAGGGAGGAGGGTTAAAAGTAAGGGGCCCAGAAAACCAGGGAAAGCCTCATCATTCTTGGGGGTTTTTTGAGTTTGATTGTTCTTGCTCTTGTTGCTGTTGGAGGCAGGGTCTCACTATGTAGCCCTGGCTGGCCTGGAGCTCACTGTGTAGACCAGGCTGGCCACACAGTGACTCTCTGCCTCTGGGTTATGGGTTTGCTGACATGCTTTACTGGGTTTCATTTAGACTTGGAAGTCAAACCGAAGAAAATGTTAATTTTTCTTTTCAGTCCTGGGGTTGTGGCTCAGTGACAGAGCAAGTGTCGTGTGAATATGGGGAACTGTGGGTTCCTGTCCAGCACCACTCAAGAGTAATTAAATCCCCACATGAAACCAAGCAAACTTCCTAGCTATAAGTCTTCAGACTTCTCTCAGTGCAACCATGAAGATAATTCTGTTTGTCGTTGCTGTTTGGAGACAGGGTCTCTCCATGTAGCCCTGGCTGTCCTGGAACTCACTCTGTAGACCAGGCTGGCCTCGAACTCACAGAGATCCTCTTGCCTGGGCCTCTCTAGTGCTGAGATTAAAGGTGTGCTCTAACATATTTTTTTTCTTTTTGCTTTTACTGGAGATTTTGTTTTTGTTTTGTTTTGCTCCTCTGTGTGGCCTCAAACTCACAGAGATCTGCCTGTCTCTACCTCCTGAGTGCTGGAATTAAGGGTATCCAGCAGAAGATTTTTGTTTGTTCTGTATTGGGGGAAGGGGGAAAATGTGGGGAGTTGTTTGGGTGGTTGGTTTGGTTTAGAATTTTTTTTTTTTAATTTCTTTTTGCACAGGGTCTCTTTATGTAGTTTAGAACAGTCTGGAACTCACTTGTTTCAAAGTTGAGGCAATTCTGCCTCAGGCTCTCAGGTGCTGGGACTCTGTGTGTAGAGCATCACACCCAAGCTCTTCGGACAGTTCTGATCCACAGCACAAGCTCCTTTTTTTTTTTTTTTTTTTTTTTTTTTTTTTTGTGCAAACGTTTATAATCCACTGAGTCCTACATACAGCTCTGGGGAGGAGGTGGTGGGGAGAAGCTTCCGGAAGATACCTTTCCTTTGGCCCTGTTCTTCCTCCTGGGAATGTCCTCCTCCAAGTCTTCTACCTCGAGATCATGCGGAAACTCCAGCAACTGCTGTTTCTGGGCCCAGTAGAAGGGAGATTGGGGGGTCAAGAAGGTGGGGGCACTGGTGTGCTGCAGGTGAGGCGGAGGAGCAAGTCAGGGAGCCTTCTACAAGCAGCGGTGTTTCTGGGAGGATGGAGGCGGAGGGTACCCAGAGGCCCTATGGAGCCAGGTGGTTCAGAGCAGGAAGGCGAAGTGACAGGCGGCAGGGTTAGAGGGGGCCTGCAGCCAGGGTGGGAACTCCTACCTGACAGTCCATAATGGTCTCCTCCTCCTTCAGCTCCACTTTCTTCTCTCCTGTGTCGGCACACAGCAGAGCCTCGAGGACGGGCCCTTCCGGAAGGCCACCCTCCTTCTTCAGGGGTACCTCACAATCTGGGGACAGTCCACAGGGAAAGTGGTGTCAGTACAGAAGGCTGTGGTCAGAGTGCCCAGGTTGCAGTGGGGGGGGGGGGAGGCAGGGGACACGGGCATGGCCCTTGTGGCAGGGCCGGGCTCTCCCACACTCAGCCAACAAGGACATACAGATTCAACCTCAGGCCCTGGAAAGTATGCCCAGATCCTGGGGAGACACAGCCACACCCTCAGTCCACTCAATGAAGAAGGCAAGGCCAGAATGCTGAATATACCCAGAAATCCTCAGAAACAACACAGGCCCTCAGAAATACCTGTGTAGTGAAAGCCAAGCCCTCAGACACACCCCAAGAAAGTTAAACATTTGAATAGGGTACACACAGACATGCACGCAGGACATGCAGCTAGGCGGTCAGACACAACGGACCTTTGGCTGTAGCTGCACACGCAGAAGACACACAGTTAAGCCCTGGGATATAGAAGTACTCAGAAGGCAATGGCAGAGCCATAAATAAATGTTGACCCACATTAATTAGGAAGACACAGGCAGGCCTTATGATACACCTGGGCACTCACAGACATACACAGAAAAACACAGGGACTCTACTTGAAAGGCTTTCGCACACAGGAAGACACAGCCAGCCAGCACTCCTGTACTCCTGATACAAGCAGACCTACACACACACACACACACACACACACACACACACACACACGGGGGTGGGGGACAGAGAAGAAACCAGTGTCTGCCTTTCCTGAGCACACTGGGAAAGCCCTATCTATGAACACACCTCAAGAAATACCTAACAGAGAAACAAGCCAAAAATATCCCATAGCAACTCTGATGGAACCATATATACCCCGGGAGGAGCTACATATCCACAGTCCCACCACATACACACACACACACACACACACACACACATTAAACACATACCTTCTGACACATACCCTCACTTGGAAACACCTAGAATGAAACAGGCATTCTAATACACTCAGCCACAGTTACAATTAGACGCTCAACTCAGTGGTTCTCAACATTCCTAATGCTGTGAGCCCCCAACCATAAAATTATTTCGTTGCTACTTCATAACTTTAATTTTGCTATTCTTATGAATAGTAATGTAAATATCGGGTATACAGGATACCTGATACACAACCCCAAAAGGTTGACACCCAGGTTGAGAAACACAATTAACTCATCACATACACAGGCGGATAGCCAGATGCCCTCCAGCATCCACAGAATGAAACACAGCCGGACATGGGGGAACATGGGTGTATCCAGCTCCCCGGGGAGCAGGGACAGTGAACTGATAAATCTAGACTCAGGTAATAAGGTGTCCTCCATACACCTGCCCACATGGGGCAGATAGCCTGCTGGGGAGACGCTCTGGGAAAACAAAGGCTGTGTGGGGACCGGCAGCAGGGGGCCTGAGGACCTTGGTGGGGGCCACAGCAGGCGCAGGGGACACAGCTCCACCCACCGATCTTGTACTCGCAGGGCCGCAGCCTGGGGTCCTCCAGGATGTTGAGTCTCCGTTTCTTTCTCCAACAGCGGGCGGGGTAAGTGTAGATTTGTCCTGGGGCCAAACCTGGAGGAGAGAGGCTGTGAGCGTGAGGTCCCGGGACGCAGGCCCCGCCCCGCCCCAGCCTCGCGGCGGGTACCAGGCCCGCGGTGGGTCTTCTCCATCCAGATGTAACAGTTGTTCTGGGCCACACCGGTCTGCGAGTCGAGAAAGGGCAGGCGCAGGCTGCGCTCGGCGCACAGGCGCGCGTTGTAGCTGCGGCAGTGCTCGATGGCCTCCCGGTAGAAGTCCTCGCCGAGGCTGAGGGGGCGGGCGAGCAGCGGGCGGGCGGCTGTCAGCAAGGGCTGGCGCGGGGAGGCCCAGCACCGTCCCCCGGCCGCCCGTTCCCGCTGGTCCGCAAAGGGCAAACCAGCCAGGTCCACCTTCACCTCCCCCTCCTCCCACCCCTCGGGGCCCGGGGGCGGGGCAGGGTGCTGGCTGGGAGGCAGCTACCTGGGACTTGACTGTGTCTCAGGTTAAGAAGCGTTCACAGACAATATAGAAACAGACCGAAACACACCGAGACCCATCCACACTCGAACGTAGCCAAACACCCAAAACAAACAAATCGCACATGGCCACACGGGATTCACACACAAAGAGGAACATATCCCAATATTCACAAAGGAGAAGCAAACACATCCCCCCTCCCACACACACACACACTTCTCTTGCAGAACACAAATATTCCAAGTCAGAAACAGGCCATAAAACTACCTTTGCACGCCGTGTATCCAAAGACCACAAGATAAATAATTTGTCCACAAAGACCCACAGCATGGAAACGTACTACACGCACACATCGCAACAGTCACTCAGCGTCCAAAGACAGGGGCTCAAGAAGCATTTACATATGCGCTTACACATCTATCCAAACGCACAATATCTATGTCAAACACACAATACAAAGAAACCACGGAGATTTTACACGGTTACACATACACACATTCACACGGGGGTGGGGGACGGACAGAAACGCAAATTTAAAAACACATTCCCAAACACAGGTACACGCCTTGGAAGCAGAGGGACAGTCAAGTCTGCCCACGTTCGCACATATCCGCACACAACCCTATCCAAAGACACAGCATAGATGGCATGTGCACACACCTCGGAGCCCCAAATAGTCAGGTAGGTAGTGCTGAATAAAAGAAATCATATTCATAACCACACATTCAGCCAGAAAACAAAAAGCGATACGCAAGTCGCACAACACACTCCACACCCCAAGACAAAGGTGGCGTGGATTCGACCCGAGTGTACTCGGGCCCCAGACTCCCTAAGCCGTTTACCCTCTTTCAAACCGTGGCATCCCTGGGAGGCGACATGACCCCCTTCCCCTAAACACCCCGGGGGACCCCTCCCCCACACCCTGCACCCCTCCAGGAGCAACGCGTCGGGCATCATTCTTGCCCGACACCCACAGTCACACCCGCTCGCACCCCCGCACACGGTGACAGCCCCCTGACACCCCAGCGGCCCCACCCCCAGCGGCCACACACAGACACATGCACACACGCGCGCGCGGCCGCGCAGACCCGCCCGCGCGGGCTCCCCCGCCTCCCGCCCGCCCGCACCACCTCAGGGGGCCGGGGATGACCGTGGCCATCTTGCTCCCCGGGTCCTGCCCCCAGCAGGTCCCTGCCGGGTCGGTCCTCCCAGCGGTCGGGCGGGCGCTGAGGCCGCCCATCCATTCATTCCCGGGGGGCGGGAGCACGCGGATCCCAGCCAATCAGGACGGCGGGGCGGGCCGCCCAGGCCATGCCGGGAGTGGTAGTCCCCAGCGGGTGCTCAAACCCGGGGGGGGGGGGTTAGGATGGAGAATCACACAGTCGTTCAGACACGCTCACTCACACGCACTCCCCAGTGCCACGTGCACCGACGCATGCACGCACACACGCGCACATGGCAGCTTACACACAGTCACACTACACTCGCAGATTCCCGCACACCCCACTCACACACCTTCACCCCTACCCAGCCACAGGCGCCCAGACCTCACAAGTGCCCAGCCAGCGGTGTCACCAGAGTGCGGGGGTCGACGCCACCTCTCCCACCGTGCCCTCCAAACTCTGTCCCAGGGCTGACTGTCGCGGTCACCCGGGGCCCACTCCTCCGCAGGAGTACAGGACTGTCGCCCTTCTTCCCGGGCTCAAATCTTCCCTGACAGGACCTCAGGCACCCTCTCTGGGCCTGTTTCCTCCTTTAGAAAATAGTTATAATACCTCATCGGAGCGAAGATTAGATGAGTAACAGGGTAAATGACTGTTTTAGTGACAGAACCTTACTGTCCAGCTCCAGCTGGCCTCAAACCACAATCCTCCTGCCTCTGCCTTCCTTAGGTGGGCAACACCACACCAGCTGCTGCAAAGTGTTTTCAAAGACACATAGCAGGGTTTGGGGTTCAGTACCGAGAGCCCATGGGTTCAATTGAAGACCCAGATGAAGAAATGGTACCCTGGCAGGTACTAATGAATCCATTTATTCCCCAGAGAAGACACTACAAAGAGGATCTGATAGGTGACCCTGCTATTAGAAAGAATAATGCCTGCCCTAGTATGCGGTCCACAAATACACATTGAGTGAATACTTAACATTTGCTTAGCACAGCTCTCTCCAGGCCAAACGATTACTATCCTTATTTTCCAGACAAGGACTTGCAGATCTGGAGGAGAAACCTTACCTGTTCTCTGCCCCTGACTGCTGTCTGAAGATAGTACTGAAAGATTCCTTCCCCTGGTCATCCATCCTTCTACTACCTTCCACAGCCCCTACTCTAACAGAGCCCCAACTAATGCGCTGACCTACTGAGTCTCTCTGTCTCTCTGTCTCTCTGTCTCTCTCTCTCTCTCTCTCTCTCTCTCTCACACACACACACACACACACACACACACACACACACTGGTGCATGTGCGCTCACTCTCTCTCAGCCCCACCCTCGGGGGAATAACTTAGCACTCGGATTTGAGTGGCTGCATAAATTAGCATATCAAGTGTTAATACAAATACGCCACTGTCCAGCAGGGGGAGTTCCACCCACCCGACTGAGACTCAAGATTTCCTGAACTACACACACCTCCAGTCTCTAACTCCCTTCCACAAACGTCCCCATCCACACACCCAAGCCATCCAAGACCTTGACCCACGGCTTCCCAGCGTAGGTAGGGCATCTGATTCACTTCCTGCCTCGAATTCAATGAGGGATGCTGGTACCCCCTCACTCAGCCTCCTCTCCAGGTCCCAGTGCTGTGTGCCCTGCCTTGTCATGACATGCCCTTTCCTTCAGCTCAGAGGGTCCCTGCCACCTCTCACCACCATCACCCACCAGATCCCCAGCACACCCTCCCCAACCTGTTGCACACTCCTGCCTTCAGCCTGCCCTCACACCCCAGGTCAGGGCCTCACTGGAGTGTAGAAGGTGTGTCACCTTAGAAGTCCCAGCTGCTGCCGCTAGGAAAGGGCCTGGCTCCCTTTCCCTTGCCCATCACCATCACAGACTCTTCTCCACCTACTCCCCTCAGAACTCAGCCTCTCAGTCCCCTCAGTTGCCCAAGCAATGCTCCTGTCCCAGAGTCCTGCACTCTGTGTTATAATATTAATCAATATTTATACTCACAGCAGTAGTCAATACTTTGGGCCAGGCTCAGGCTCTGTGCAAACTGCTTTAGGAAGATGGCCTCTCTAGTGAGGTCCTGTGGCTCAGATAGCTCTCAGATAGCCTAGCTAGTATTCAACGAGCTTGAGTTTGAGGGCAGGCTGTGCTGGAGAGTTTTTAAGAGCATGTCTTAAAAACAAAGCAAAGCCAAACAAGCAAAAACACCACAAAACTAAAAGCCCCGCATGGTGGTACACAACCAAAAAGCCGGAGCCCCTCTAAGATCATGTCTGTAACCAACTCAGCGACCCATGTGAGCCTCACTGCTGCCTCGGAGAGGCAAGGCAACCAGTTATGCGGCCCAACCCACACTCGGTAACACTGAGGCCCAGAGCAGGAAACCAAAGGCTGCTAGCCACGTGTGAATTCAAGCAGGAAGAGCTAGAGCTGGTGCCGATGGGCTCGCCTTGCCGAGGGGATTTGGCTCTAGCCCTAGCAGGCCTGGCGCTCACTCTATAAGCCAAACTGGCAGAGATCCACCTGTGTGTGCCTCCCTAGGTCTGTGGTTAAAGGTGTGTGTGCCACCACGACCTGTGGCACTGGCATTCCTTAGGGACCAGTGGGACCCCAATTCCAGCCCCATAGGCCCTTTGGAAGGTAAGCAGAAGAGACCCTAGCCAATCCCCTCTGACTGTCCTCTACGCTCCTGCAGAGTGTGACCAAACATATTCCCTCCGACTCGTCTACAGACCCACCAACCCAGACCGGAACTCCAGGATACACCGATTTCAGGATGTCCCTCCACAAGGCAGAGAGAGACGGCTGTGTGTGTGACTTAGAGTCAGAGGGAAGCATAATTTGTTACCATTGCCCACCCCCTCACACTGACCCAGGCACCAGACGGTCTCCCTTGGGGGCGTGTGCCTGTAAATCCCTGCCCCCCCTCACTCCCATCCCCCTCCCCACCCCAGAAACAGATGCAACTGGGGAGGGTTTTTGGTTCAAACAACCCTTCTGTAGGTGGATGGGGGTCGAGGCGCACGCCCCCTGTCACCCCAACGCTCTAGGCTCAAGGTCAAGTCTGTAAGTGCAGGGGGTGGGGAAAGGGGGGAGACAGCCCAGGCCCCTTTGTGCGGCGCCACGGGCGCTCACCCTCCGCCTCCTCCACCCGGCCGGGAGCGGGGGAGGGGAGTGCCGCTCTCCTGCAGGGAGAGAGGGCGGGAGCGGCCACGCTCTTGTCACTCGTAGCCGGCTGTCACCGCCAGGGAAGGAGGGGGGGTGGAGAGCGCTGGGACCCGGGGGGGGGCCGGGATCCCGGAGAAGGGCCGAGAGAGAGAGAGAGAGAGAGAGAGAGAGAGAGAGAGAGAGAGAGAGAGAAGGAGGCGTGGGGTGGCAAAAAGCGGGGAGGGGCTAGCCTCGAACCCAGGCGTCCCGGTTCCCAGTCACCGGGCCCAGCGGGAGGCCAGCGCTCAGAGGAGAGTAGCGACGAGCCAAAAGGGAGGGAATTCCCGGAGAGGGAGGCGCTCCCAGCACCGGCTCCCCAGGCACGGGTCCTCAAAGGGATGGGAGGTGCTCGCGTTAGATGGGTATGGGCGGGGAGAAGGAGGGTTGCCACCGTCCGAGCCGGCACAGACGTCGGGACTCCTAGGTCTTGAAAACCCGGGAGCAAAGAGAGGAGACAGCAAGGACTCAAACGGGGACGGTCTTAGCTCCCACTGTGCAGCCGCGGGGTTCCGGGAGAAAGACCCGACAAGAGGATGGTGCTTTGATGAGGGGGAAATGGGTGGTGAGAAACGTGAGGATCCAGGTCCGTACTTAGAGGTTGGTACCTCCCACACGCCCGGGGCAGCGGTGCACCCTCCCCAAGACGCCGAGGAGCAGAGATGGAGTAGGCGAACGAAGCCCCTACCCCCACTCTGGGTGGGGACACGGCCTCCGCCACCCCTTAGCCCGCGCCACATTCCTTCACTGACAGCGACAAAGAAGAGGAGCCCTCGCGACCCAGAAGGGCTCCCGTACCTAACCCCAGGGGGCGACAGGGGGTGGAGGGCTTGCAGGGGAGCGG